TTCCTTTTCAATCCCCATGACCCTTCTTTTTAATTTATATTTATATTTTATTTTATTTCTTAATTAAAAAATACAAAATATATTATTTTCTTAAATAATTAATTAAAAAGACTTTTTTGACTTACTTTATCTTTATGAATAATAAAAACCCTAAAAATACATTTTTCTTTCTAAATTAATCAAACTATTTTAGACTTAGGTTTTAACTTTCTCTTAATTAAATTAATTTTAGACATCAAAATTATTATTATTTTCTTTTCAATTTGATTAATTAGGTTAAAACATTATTCGTACAAAAAAACATAAAATTTTTTTTTCTTTTCTTTTACATTATCTTTATATTCTTGTACATTTTATTTGGCATTATTCAATATGATTGTAACAATAATTAGGTTTTAATTTCTTTCATCCCCATTTGTAATTTGTATCCCAATCCCCTAAAATAATGTAATTGCGTAGAACTTTCAATTTCCGCAATTTACCGTTTCCCATATTATTGCTAGTAATTAGAGATTGTATGGAAAGACATAAAATCAACAAGTAGACGACCCTAATTCAAGACAAATGCATGAAAATAATACACTTTGCACATTTGCACCTCTAGGGTTAATCCATACTTGTTGCCTTAGAATAAAACAGTCATGTCCCTTGAACGTGGGATGCTTTATCAAAGACCCTCGATTACAAGATCGTAGTCCCTTGACGATCCTTCGATGTTGCCTTCGGTAAACGATCTTAAACTCTTACGATAAATTGCTAAGGTATCCTACAATATTGCCTTCTATAACTGTACAATGACCCACGCATGTCCCTTCACATCCAATGATAGGGCTTTTTACCAATCAATGGTAAGATAGTAATATCTAAAGAAGGAGGAAAAGAACAAAGAACTTTTGAATAGGTAGAACGCTCGTAGTTGCTTGCTCACAAAATAAAACCATTTCCATACTCACACTTTCAAAACATCTTTCCAAAAACAAACATCTCTTTGAACTATTTTCAAAACCAACACTTTGTATACATTCTCACCGAAACGAGAATCATTACAAAGTTTGCCAAAACAAAGGCGTTTTCAAAATATTTTCAAACTTACACCAAACACAAACAAATTCACAAAATCATTTCAAAGTGAGCTAGCAATTAAGAGCCCATAGATAACTATGGATGAAAAGGGTGCTAACACCTTCCCTTTTCATAACCTACCCCCCGAACTCAAGAAAATTCTCAAAAGGTCTTTTCTGTTCTTTTCACCATTTTCTTTATTGGATAAAAGAAAAGTCGGTGGCGACTCTTGCTACCCGCAACAATTTCGATAAAACACAAAACACCCAAGTCAGTTCTCCCACCGTATTATAGGTTATTTGGTTACTTTTTTAGTAGTTCTGAATTTGATAGAGAAAGTGATGGCTTGGAGATCTAAAGTGACAATTTTGAGGGCTTTGGAAGCCATTGAAGACCCATATCTTCCTTGATTTTCATGTTTTTTCCATCTAAACTCATGGTAGTTGTTATATGCACTATGAATAGCTTGATTCTTTAGATTAAGTCTTTTTAGACAAACATGCTAGTACTTGTTGGATCATATGGTTGTTTGACGTTAATTGAATGATTTTATATTATTTTTATTATATAATTATTCTTAATTTTAATGCTTTTTATGTATTGACGAATGCATGAATCGATATTAGACGAGTAGGCATTATTGATCGTAAGACTACCGATCCAATCTATATCAATTATTCAACTTAGTAATTAACTAGGAATAAGTAATTATAAGTTGTGGAACAAACTTAGAACACCTAATTTAACTCTGAATTGGCCTAAGAAATTAAGGAACTATTTTGTATATTAGTGAGTTGTACACCAAGGAATTGGGAATCGTGGCTATGTTAATATCCCGTAATACTTTTATAGGTTACAAATTTAATTAATACAAAGTTCATCAACAAGTATAAGTAGAGGAGCCGAAAGAAGATCTAATCACCTTTAGTTATTAAATTTTGTTCCAAATATTTTCTCATGTTATTTGCGAACCAAATCAACCGTCAAAACATCCCCATTGTTATTTACTTAATTTTTCACTATTGTTACCTTGTTAAAATTTGCACTCTATATGGAGAAAAAAAATTAATTTATTGCTTTGACGAGGCTATACACTTTCTAGAATTGTCAATAGTAGGCCCTGACAGATTTTCCTAATAGGCACAATCATCTTTCAAAGGAGGGGTCCAACGTTCTCTAGAGGAACGAGAGCTCAACCCCACCAGTAATAGACGAGTAAGAAGACCTAGAGTTTTCGACATTGCCAGAAGCATATTCAGGCCAACGTCACTCCCGTCCGACCATTTCCCTCGCTTCAAAAGGAAGAGATTTACTTCATCTTTCATATGATATGCACACCATCATAATCAAAACAAATGCATCATGAACATGCATGTTAATGACAGAAAAGGAAAGAGTTTCAGGAGCTTACCAAATATGACTTTTGATTCTTCCTGAGAACGAGCCTCCATCAGCAATTGAGTATCTATGAGGCGACGTAAGCGTCTCTGATCGACCTCGTTCGTATGGGTGCCATCTCCGAAGTAATCCAGGTTGCTGATAAATCTCATAAACCATTTCTTATGATACATAGCTCCATTAGAAAGATCCCCATCTTTATATATGTACACACTATTACCCATAAGAAAGTGACTCTCAGTCCAGTACTTGGGAAACAACTCGGCACACCATCCCTCCACCTCGTCCCCGACGACGCTAACTATGGCATGAACTTCAGGGCTAATGAGGTGACTAGAAAGAATCGACCTTCATAAGGTTATAGCTCAGGAAGAAGCCCAAAGCCACACACAATCGACTCCAAAAAGATCAACCCTCTGCTACACCTCTGTACCACAGGACTACAACAACATTTAAAGAGATGAAAAAGGGTCACAAAAGGCTTTCCTTTCAGGTAGACTTTCACGTACGTCCAACTTGTAGGATGAAGTTGCGTAAGAGCCATTGCCAGGTGCTTCAAGATTTCTATCTCAAAGACATTGAAGGGTTGACAAAGACCCAAAACTGAGAAAATAAACTCATAAAAAGGAATAACGCAATCACCATACTTACTGTATATCCTTCATCCTCAGTGGGAGTCAATACTCCTAGTAGGAAGGTGAACTAACTTCAATAAAAGTGCCATCATAATTGTCTACTTCTGTAAAAGTAGAAACGACAGAAGAGTAAATAGAATCCATCCAAGAAGGTGGATGACTATTCTGGGATTTGTGAGAACTCTTATGTAATTTTTTACCCATTGCGCACTAACTTTTCAAATGCAGGGAAGTGAAACGTCAAAGAAGAAGATAACCTATAAATTGGAAAAATGACTTAAGGAAAGTAATGCTAACTCTTTGAGGATTATATTCTAACATACAAAAGGAAATAAACTGTATCAAACATGTCAAATCAGTACGCAATACTCAAGTGTTTCGCTTCCCAAGAGTTATAATGATTGCACATCCGAAAGAACGTTTGAAGTATGAAGCATTAAATGCACAAACCCCTAAGCGACTTAAACCTTTTCTTTTGCTCTTCCAAACATAAAGGCGAGAGTGGTCGACAACCAAAGCCGAAGTAACAAACTCATGCCTTGTTGAGCACATATACGAGCTTAGGGACAATTATTTCGGACTGTCCATATCGACCTCGACCGACCACCCTGAGGGAATAGTAATTCTTCCAGAATCGTCTTGGCCCATGAGAATTCTCCTTATGATACTAAAAATCATCTCAACTACAAGTGTATCTAACGCCTCTCAACAATTCACTCTTCTTCCTCAGTGACATATACGTTGTTAATCCTCCTTTCCATTATGCCAAAAACTTAAATCTACATTCACTTCCAATCATTAGTCCATTTCTATTTTCGGAACAAAAACACTTTAAAAAATAAAATTCCGCCTAAATATATATACACACAAATATCATATTTTATTTACGAACTATTTAGACTTCGATGGTAAAATATAATTTATCTTACCATTTTAAAGATGGATTTACAACTATGGCCTGAACCAGCGATTGAGAAGCACGTGTTATGGTTGAAAGGGAAGGGGGTTAGGGTTACCCTCCATTCCAATTCCATTTCCCTACGCCCAGGGTCACTTACCTTTCCCTTGATTTCTTCCTAATTTACCATCAATTAATAAATTAAATCAATCTCTTCAATAATCATTATCCCCCCTTATTATTATTATTATTATTATTAATAATAATAATAATAATAATAATAATAATAATAATAATAATAATAATAATAATAATAATAATAATAATTATTATTATTATTATTATTATTAGATTATTTAATGAATAATCAATCCCTGTAGATTCAATTTCGAAACCCTCATAAATTTTTTAATCAATTATCAATGTGAGTGTAATTTTCGATTCTGCAGTTAATGGCCCAAACCCTTGTCTCAATTTTTCATGCCTTGTTTCTATGATGCTGAAACTGTTTTTGCCTCAATTTGTTTTTATAACCCTATTTAATTGTTATTGAATTCAGAAGAATTGGTTTTGTTTGGTCTGATATTGAATTTTCCTTCAATGGTTAAATTCTCAACTTATCGCACCACCTTCTACAGTAGTTCTATTAATCTTTTTTTTTTTACACTATTGCATTCAAGTATTAGGTAAAAGTATAATTTTTTTTATTGAATTGTTTTATTACATAATAAAGTTGTAATATAATGGAGTTTGTGATATAGCTTAGTGGTAAGAGCTTGATTCTATGTTATTGAATTGTATGATGATCATCGCGTCACCAATATTAATAATTTTTCAAACACAATTTTTTTACAATGATACAACTGGGTTAATGTTTATTCTTTTTTTCTTTTGTTTTTGTTTGTATTATCAATCATTAAAGTGATTTTTTTTCTCCTTAATATTAGTCATTTATGTTATTGTTTCTGGATTTCAGGTATGGAGTGTTTTGACATCTGGAAGAGATCATGTTGCAGTGCCTAAAGCATTTGTGTGGTGCTGTAATAAATTGTTGCGATTCTGATTCCTTAAATCAACCTAGAGGTTTAGAAAATCCAGAACTTCTTGCAAGAGAGACTGTGTGTATGTTCTTATTGCCCTTTTTTTCCTTTTACATATCATGTTGTAAAAGCAATAGACCAGTCCAGTCATTCATTGTTATCGTATCTCGAATTTGTTGTTTGTAATTTCAGTTAGCACCGTGAATTACTATGTTCTTGCATCTACAAATAGCGTTTTGATTTCATAGCGAATTATTGAAGGAGAACTTCTAATGGCCTTTCAAGAATCTATATAACTTGTTGTTGAGACTTGATTCACTGGAATGCATATTTCATATCTCTCTCAAGTTTCTTTTTTATTTATTTATGAAAACTATAAGAAAATGGAAAGATTAAAAGAAGGAAAAAAGAGAGGATATTTATTTGTTTTATCGTCCTTGCAGTTAGTGTAAGTGAGATTGAAGCACTTTATGAACTCTTCAAGAAGATCAGCAGTGCAGTGATTGATGATGGGCTGATTAATAAGGTGAGTTATGCTCATTTTCTGTTCTTTTATCAATTCGTGTTACGATATGTGTGTTTTACTGTTTTCAACTCTTATGGATGATTCCTTGCTTACCCTATAATTGTAACAAGTCTACATGCTTTATGCATAATTCACAACTAATAGTAACTCATATCGTCCATTGTATTTTTTTTTAATGATGCTTTCCTTATTTTACACGACAGGAAGAATTTCAGTTGGCATTGTTCAAGTCAAACAAGAAGGAGAGCTTATTTGCAGACAGGGTATGTTGCTGAGTATCATCTTCTGTTTTTTTTTACAACTGCTTTTTTCATTTTCACTCGACGGAAGAAAATAACAATACTATGATATTTTTTGGGGCCTTCATTGTTTTTTCCTCCTGATATATTAGCTAGATGGTTCTTTTTTGGGGAAATTGTTATGATCTAATAATGATGTGAACCTAATCAATTTATTTCATGTTCATGATATTATACTTATGTAGGTGTTTGACTTGTTTGATACAAAGCACAATGGGATACTTGATTTTGAAGAGTTTGCCCGTGCACTGTCTGTTTTTCATCCCAACGCACCAATTGATGATAAGATTGACTGTAAGAATGACCAACATTTTTATTTCGATATTGAATGGAAAGGATATTCATTGGAGAGGGGGTCTACTACGTAGTAACGTAGAGGATATCTGTTGTTTCCACTATTGTCTATTTATTTCCCTTACTGAATTGTTATGGGTAGTAATGTATAAACTTATTGAAGATTCCCAACTTTTCCTTCTTGCAGTTTCTTTCCAATTGTATGATCTCAAACAGCAAGGTTTTATTGAAAGACAGGAGGTAATTTTTTTTTTTATGTTCATATCAACTAAATAAGTTTTGTTCACACCACATTGGATCACTACTCTATAGTGTTTAGGACACAAGATAACCAACGGGGGATTGAATCAACTATTGGGAATTTGAATCAGCCTTCACTTGCATAAGTTATTTTTCTGATGCCCATTGCAACTTCTGCAATTCTATTTTCAAATTGTTTGTGGTCCAAGGCCTTAGATGAAGACCAACTAGCTCATGAGTTTTAATAGGTTGATTGGTTCATCTTTGTTTAAAGGCCAAGACAAGGATTTGCAGTTGGTCACTCAGAGATTTCTTTTAGTCATAGATGATAACCTATTCAGCAATTAAACAATAGCGTTACTTATTTATAATATTTAGGTATCTGACCTTATTTCAAGACAGAATTTGAAAACTGGTCTAGTAGATTACTGATGTGGGAACTGTGAACAACCTAGATGAAGTTGGTAGTGACTTTGAGATCTTCCGATAACTTAACCGTTTTGTTTTTAAAATCTCTTAAGAACTTTACTGCAAAATATGTAGTTGTTTCATTGTATGTTCATAATCTATCTGGCATACAAATGTGCTTTTGGTATTAGCGTGTACTATTTGATACTAGGTTGTATATTTTCCTGAATAGCAGCACATTGCGGGATGGCTGCTATTTAAATATTTATATTTTTATACTAAAGCAATACAAGTAATTGTTTTACTATTATTTTAGTATTAGTTTATACTATTATATTCAATTATTGGTCTCTTATTACCAAGTAAAAACCTACGTACTCAAAGACCCCTCATTTTTTTACGATGCCATTTAAGTTGTATTTTTCGATAGATTGGGCCTTAAGCCCTTAGGGGCTTATATGTTTTCTTCTCCCTTAAAATAGTAGACCTAGCAAGAATGTTGTGTAACCTTGTTCTGTAACAAGACATTCCGCACACAACCAGCAGCTGCTTGTGCAGCTGCAAAAATCGAAATAGAAGCCTCAAGCTGGAAAATACATAATTTGTGGTCCCTCGTCGTAGATTTGTTCAGAAATCTTAACAGTGTTAAAGTCCTTTCATTTTTTTACTTCCCCCTCCTCTCGCCTGGTTCAGTTGGTAAGTGTCACATCACATGCGATCTGTTCCTCATTTCTGTGCTGCGACACCCACCGCTTTGCCGGCACCAGCATCATATACTGCGACCCACCGAGGGCTCTGTGATGGCCATCACCCGCTTTGTGCCGTGATAGTATCCACCACAATTGACAACCTAGATTTATATGCATAGATGCTCAGTGTTTTTATGTGTAGGTAAAACAAATGGTGGTGGCTACTCTAGCTGAATCTGGTATGAATCTTTCAGATGATGTGATCGAAAGTATTATTGACAAGGTGCTTCATTTACTTGAGAACTTAAATTGCATGCCATATGTGTATGACCATTATAAGACTAGAGTACATTTGAATCATATTCATATTACAAGTTGTTTTTCGGCTTTTTTATTTATTATGTTATTTCAGTTTTTTTGTCGGTTACTTGGTTAAGTAAGAAATTCATGAATAGTTTTTTCTCTCTTATCGAAAGTCTCTAAAAGCAATCAAATGGAAGCCTGTAAACAAGTTATAGGTAACACAAGCTGCATGCATAGTTTGAAATTCAGTAGTTTAAGTTTCTCTGTTTTAATTGATTTTCCTTTGTTTCCAATGTTTAAGTGTGTACCACTTTTGATGCATACATAGTTAATTATTAGTGGAACACTTATGTGTACTCTAGGTAATGTTTGCCTTGCATTCAGACCTAAGCTTCCACATGATCTCTCTTCTAATTAAAGCAAACCTTTTTCAGCGTTGTTGTGAACTTCATAGGTTGACATGGTTTTATATGTGTTGAGTTGATAATGAGAACCTTGACATATGATATCATTATTGTGCTGTCATAATCTTTTCTGGAGATTTGTCACCAACATCTTTTATGATATTTAGACATTCGAGGAAGCTGATACAAAACATGATGGTAAGATTGACAAGGAAGAATGGCGAAACCTTGTATTGCGGCATCCATCCCTTCTGAAAAACATGACTCTTCAGTATTTGAAGTGAGTTTCTTCCTTTTACTAATTCACCAATTTGATTTTGAAGTTCTCTCGACAGTGAGTGAAATTTTGCCTAACATGTTACGATTTGTTTGCTAGAATGAGTCATAATCTTCAAACTTTATTAATAAGAAGAACATGGTTGTGTTTTTCTTCACTTTCTATCACAGAAGTTTTAAATTATTGCCATTTCAAAACGTATCACAGAAATAAAAATAAAACAGAAACTGTATTTTTATTGTTCACAACTCAATGTATCTCTCGTCGTCCCTTCATATTTATTTCCTCTTTATATGGTGGCCTTTTGTCACCAATACAATTACCTTCGGATTGATTTTGTCCGGCATTGTATTTTCAAGCTCTATCATCTAAAAGATATATCCGACTTAAACTGTTTTTTTTTTTGGCAGAGATATAACTACCACATTTCCTAGTTTTGTTTTTCACTCGCAAGTTGATGATACTTGAGGCAGCTACATCATCCGTGTCAGTTTTATTGGTCTTGAATATCAATGGTTTATGTTTCGCATGTGAATACTGGAATTTTGTTTGAGGATGCAGTTCAAGATGGATATAGACTTTGTTTATATTTTGCCGAATAGAAATCTGTTTCATGTTTTGGATCATTGAGGTTTGTAGATTGGACAAATGGGTTTGCTTATTGATTTCCTTCATTTGAGAATAAAAGGAAACCATATAAGAATATTTAAATGTTACAGGCTTTCAGCATTAGCAACTTGGATTTGTTACAAGTCTAGTGCAATGGGTTGGGCAAAGCTGTGAACCAACACTGCACTTGTATTTTCTTTTGTTCTTATAATTGTCACTAATTTTCCTTCCTAGATGTGCAAGTTCCACAAATTCGACATGCAACACTGAAATTGATTTTTGTGTGATTTTCAGTTAATTTAAAATCTTTTCAGTTGACAACTAATAAAATTTATTTGTATTGCTATATATAATCATTTTTATTAGTAAATACAAAAGATTCAATTTTTATTTGTTTTGAAAATAAAATACTTTAATTTTTAACTTGTTGATTTAAAAAATAAATACTGCTGTTAGAGAGTGAATCTTAGATCATAATCTTATATCTATTTAACTCAATTAACACATTTGTTTAAAAAAAAATCAATTAGCACACATCAAATGAATTACATAAAATTTTAAATATTTTAAATTCTAAAATAGATTTTTTTTATTTAAAAATATATTAAATTTATTCTTTTATGTATACGGAATAATTGATTTTAAAATTATTTGTTTAAATAATTATTAGGTATTATTTGTTTAAATAATTATTAGGTATATATGTGAATCAATTTTGACACTTTTTTTTTGAATACATAAATATTTATTTCTATTCGATTTCAAAATCATTTATTTAATTCAAAGTTATTACAACATTTGAGTTTATGGTGATTGTAATAGTTTCTTTTTTAATCAAGTTATTAGTAAAAGATCGGTGCGTCTATACAGGTTCATTAATTTTAATTGCTAATATTTGTAAATTTTAATTGCTAATATTTATAAATATGAATTGATAATTTTAATTGTGTAATGCACAGTATTCCTATTAAATAAAAAGTAAATGAAAATTGTCAAATTGGTAATAAATCATCATTTTAAAAACTAATGTGATTCCTAGTAAAAAAATTCAATTTGAAAAGTACTAATATGTGAAAAAATTAAAATTGTTGAAAAAGTTTTAACCTTCATAAAATAATATTTTATATAGTATAAAATTTATTTAAATACATATATAAATTTGAAATAAATGACTTAATTGTAAAATCCAGTTTTGATATTAGAAAGTGAAAACTGTTTTATGAAATAAAAATAATTATTGACTAAAATAAAATCATCATTATTCTAAAGTGACCCGTGCCACTTCAGAATAATAAAATAAAATCACATATAAAAAATAATTTTTAAAATCAGTTATATATATATATATATATATATATATATATATATATATATATATATATATATATATATATATATATATATATATATATATATATATATATATATATATAAATTAAGTATTTTTCTTTTTAAAGTAATCAACTTTATTTGCTATAAAACCATTTATTTATTAATTATTTAGAGAAAATAAATCACAAACATAAATAAATTTTAAAACTAATTACGTTTAACATTTTATTCATATTTATTTACATTTAAATTCAATATATTTTGCTTACAAAATAATCAAATATAATTATTGTCTATAATTGAAACAAACTTACAAAATAATCAAATATAATTATTGTCTATAATTGAAACAAACAATGATATTAATTAAACATTGTTTACTTTATTTCAAAACTTCATGGTAATTAAATGTGATTATATTTAAACTTTATCTATATTTATGTTATCTTCTATTATAATATAATTGAAAAAATCATATTAATTAAATATGATTGTACAGTTTGGTATATTAAATAAAATTCTATGTATCAATAATAAAAATCATTTAATACATATTTATTTTTAAATATAAATTGTAATTGCTAGTATTTGTAAATATGAGCTAATGAATTTAATTGTGTAATGCAGAATAATTATATTAAATAAATAGTATATGAAAATTGTCAGAAATAATTGATCATTTTTAAATCGATAACAAATTTTTATTTAAAAAAAATGCAATTCCTCATAAAAAAAATTCAATTTGAAAAGTACTAATAAGAGAAAAAAAATTAAATTTGTTGAAAAAGTTAACCCCCATAAAGTAATATTTCATACAATATAAAATTCATATATATATATATATATATATATATATATATATATATATATATATATATATATATATATATATATATATATATATATATATATATATATATATATATATATATATATATATATATATATAATATATATATATATATATATATATATATATATATATATATATATATATATATATATATATATATATATATATATATATATATATATATATATATATATATATATATATATATATATATATATATATATATATATATATATATATATATATATATATATATATATATATATATATATATTTGAAATAAGTGATTTAATTGTATAATTAATTTTTGACATTTAAAAATAAAAATTATTTTATGTAATAAAAATAATTATTGACTAAAATAAAATAAATATTGTGCTAAAAATGACATGTGCAACTTCAAAAAAAAAAACCACACATCTAAAATAATTTTTAAAATTAGTTATATTTAATCATTATTCATATTTATTCATATTAAAATTTAAACATTTTGTTTAAATTAATCAACTTTATTTGCTATAAAAACATTTATTTATTAGTTACTTAGAGAAAATAAATGACATGCATAAATAAATTTTAAAACTAATTATGTTTCACATTTTATTCATATTTATATGCATTTAAACTTAATATTTTTTGATTACAAAATAATTAAATATATTTATTGTCTATAATTAAAACAATCAATAATATTAATTAGATATTGTTTACCTTTTTTTCAAAACTTCATTTTAATCAAATGTGATTATATTTAAACTTTATTTATATTTACGTTATCTATTATTATAGTATACTTAAAATAATCATATTGGTATTTGAATAAAACTCTATATATCAATAGTAAAATTCTTTTAGTACATATTGATTTCTAAATATAAATTCTAATTGATAGTATTTATAATATGAATTGATAAATTTAATTGTGTAATGTACAATAATTCTATTAAATAAATAGTATATGAAAATTTTCAAAAGTGATTTACTATTTTTAAATCGATAATAAATTATCATTTTAAAAAAATATTCAATTCGTCGTAAAAAAAATCAATTTGAAAAGTACTTATATGTGAAAAAATAAAATTGTTGAAAAAATTAACTCCAATAAAATAATATTTTATACAATATAATTTTTTTTTAAATACATATATAAATTTGAAATAATTGACTTAATTGTACGTAAAATCAATTCTAGATATTTAAAAATAAAAATTACTTTATGAAATAAAAATAATTGTCGGCTAAAATATGATAAACATTGTGTTAAGTGATATGTGTCATTTCAAAAACAAAATAAAATCAAATATCTAAAATCATTTTTAAAATTAGTTATATTCTATATATTATTCATATTAAAATTTAAATATTTTTATTTTCAAATTAATCAACTTTATTTGCTATAAAAACATGTATTTATTAATTACTTAGAGAAAATAAATTACAGGAATAAATAAATTTTAAAACTAATTTATTTTTTGAAATAAAAAAACTTTTATTAAACCAAAAAATCCGAAAATATAAGGCAATCGCTAGGATCCAACCACCATAAAAACAAAGAAAACCTAAGTTAGCATAAGCCTCACAATTAAAAATCTTACTATGCCAACCTCTAAACACAATGATATCAATAATATCATGGACTACTTTCTCCTTGTCAACATTCTTACCAAAACAAACATCATTTTTAAATTTCCAAACACCGTATATCGTTTCCACGGCTGCCAACTTCAATAAAGCTGCTCTTCAACCTTTACCTTTACCATGAGTGATAATCTAAGAGATTTCTGCATCCCAATGTTGAGGCACATGAAAAATTCAGATCCAACGAAGAATACTAACTCAAATATCCTTGATGACAACACACTCAGTGAAAAGATGTTGGATGGTTTCAACTTTACCACAAGCTACAAGTACTATTCGCCAACATTCAAAACTTAACCAACCTATTTTTAGTTTCTAACTTCCTGTGACAAGCCAACCAAAAAACCATGCTAGCTCTGGGTCTAGCAGAATTATTCTTCAAAAGACTATGCCAAATCATAACAATACCAACATTAAGAGTGGTATAAATAGATTTCATGCTAAAATTTTCCTTAGAGTTCATAATGTTCTAGGAGGCTGCATTAGAATTTATAAACCCCTTTTACTCCAAAATCTTGCGCATGATCCAAGTACTATTCGCTTTAGGCTTGACCTCCATAATATCCTTGTGCTTGAGGTGATAAGAATGAATCCACTTAACCCATAAACTATCAGACTTGTTACAAATGTTCCAAAGAAGCTTCAACATAACACACTTGTTCCATATGACTAGGTTAATAACCCCTAGACCATCAAGCTTAATAGGCTTACAAACATCATTCCAAGCCACAAGACTCTTTTGTTGATGGTATCCTTACCATACCAAAGGAAAGAATGACAAACAAAATCAATTTTCCTGGTAACTAATTTTGGAAGAGGGAAGCACATGGGCCAATAGTTAGCCATAACAAAAGTAATGCTCTTGATTAACTGCAATCTTCTAGCATAGCTCAAGAGTTTAGCAGACCAGTGCCTAATCCCGCAGACAACTTTGTCAACCAAACCCTTATAGTGGCAAACAACGAGCTTCTTATGGGTAAGAGGCAAGCCCAGATACTTAAAAGGAAGGCAACCCTCTTTAAAACCAGACTTATTT